TGGGAATGCCCAGAGTGTCAGAAAACGGCTCCACAACCTTATTATAGAAACCCTTTGATTCCCCTCCCAATTATTGAAACCCCCTTTGAACAGATTGGGATGGATTTGGTGGGGCCCCTGATCCGAACCATCAAAGGTCACCAGTATATTTTAGTGATAGTGGACTATGCTACAAGGTACCCTGAAGCCATTCTGTTAAGAGCTGCCACCGCCAAAAATATAGCTAGGGAGCTAGTACAACTGTTTGCTCGGGTCGGAATTCCTAAAGAGATCTTAACTGATCAAGGAACTCCTTTCATGTCTAAAGTCATGCGAGACTTATGCAAGCTACTGGGAATATACCAGATCCGAACCTCGGTCTATCACCCTCAAATAGACGGGCTAGTTGAACGTTTTAATAAGACCCTGAAAAGCATGCTGAGGAAGGCTATGCAAAAGGATGGGGAAAATTGGGATCAGACGCTCCCGTATCTCATGTTCGCGGTAGGAGAAGTGCCACAGGCCTTTACCGGTTTTTCTCCATTTGAATTGCTATACTCTCGAAAACCATGGGGCCTATTCGACGTGGTCAAGGAATCTTAGGAACACCAACCCTCACCTTTACAGACCATCATCGAACATGTGGAACAAATGAGAGAGAGAATAAACGTTATTGTTCCCATTGTGAAAGAAAACCTGGAAAAAGCACAGGCTCAACAAAAACAAGTTTAGAATAGGGGAGCTTTTGCGAGAGAATTTCAACCGGGTGATAAAGTACTGGTATTAGTTCCGACCCCCGAATGTAAATTCTTGGCCTCCTGGCAGGGTCCTTATGAGGTGGTGGAAAAGATGGGACCGGTCAACTATAAGGTCAAGCAGCATGACCGAAGACGGCAGCATCAAATCTACCACATCAATTTATTGAAGAGATGGCATGGGACTGAGGTTCTGCTCACTCACTTTTCCCCTGACCCGTTGGAAGAAGAAACGGGAGCTGTAGCCGTGGGAGACCTGGCTCTGGCTCAGAAACAGGAACTACAAGAATTCCTGACCCAAAACAAAGATGTTTTTTACCGGACACCTGGTCGCACCCATCTTATACGACATAAGATTACCACGGAACCAGGGAAGAAGGTAAGACTACCCTGTATCGAGTACCTGAAGCTTAAAGGAAATTGATTAAAGAAGAGGTGGAAAAGTGGAAAAGTGGAATCCCATAGCGAGTGGGCGATCCACACTCTGATCCCCAAGCCGGATGGAACTGTTCGATTTTGTAACAATTTCAAATGGTTAAATGAGATCTCACTGTTCGATGCATACCCCATGGCCCGTATTGATGAACTAATTGAGCGATTAGGCATCGCCGGATACATCAGTATCCTTGATCTTACGAAGGGATATTGGCAAGTGCCGCTGGCAGAGGGAGACAAAGCGAAGACCTGAGGGCCTATACAGGTATCACTACAGGGTCCTACCCTTCAGTTTGCATGCCGCTCCCACAACATTCCAAAGACTAATGGACCAAATACTGAGACCATATAGGGATTTTGCAGCTGCCCACTTGGATGACGTTGTGATCCATAGCACAACATGGGAACAACATCTACAACACCTGGAAGCAGTGACTGGAGCTTTGCGAGCAGCAGGATTAACAGCCAACCCAAATAACTGTTGTCTGGGGGCTCGGGAAGCCAATTATCTTGATTATACGACCGGGAGAGGATTGGTCATGCCCCAAGAGAAGAAGGTGCAGTTAATTAAAAACTGCTCCAGACCTGCTACAAAGAAGCAAATCCGAACATTTTTGGGACTTGCAAGTTATTATCGACGCTTTATTCCAGGGTTTACCTCCATTGCCGCACCTTTGCACGATTTAACAAAGACCAAAGACCAAACAAAGAGTTCTCCGGAAAAAATAAAATAGTCCTACTTGGAAGAAAGGGCCTTTCAAGACTTAAAAACATCTCTCTCTTCTCAACCCGTCTTACAGGTACCGGACTTCAATAAACCTTTTAATGGTACAAACTGATGCTTCTGACACTGGAATTATAGCCATACTCTCGCAAGAAATGGATGGACTAGAGCATCCTATTCTATATATTAGTCGAAGTTAAATCCTGCTGAAAAACACTATTCTACCATAGAGAACGAATGTCTAGCCATAAAATGGGCCCTGGACTATTTGAGGTATTATTTATTAGGAAGACGGTTTATATTGTACACAGATCATGCGCCATTAACCTGGATGTTACAAAATATGGATAAAAATGATTGAATCACACGATGGGGACTCAGTCTTCAAAGGTTTCAATTCCAAACGGTATATAGACCCGGAAGGAAACAAGGGAATGTAGACGCCCTCTCGCAAATGCACTGTTTATTTTTTTCTAGATCGCCCGAGGACGGGGCTGATCTCAGGGTAAGGGAATGTAAGAGGACCATGGGAAGGGTCATTTATAACTGGTATTTCCGTAACGAAATGCTGGATATACTAGATATAGACCTAGGCAAGATGGCCGCCAAGGATAACCAGCTGACCCGCTGTTGGAAAAGATCTATGCGGCGAAACAATGAGACACAGGTGAGCTGCGTCAGGAAATGGAATATAAATGCCCCAGAAGGAGTGAGCCGGCACGGAAGCCGATAAGGTGAAAGCGTTTTGGAGGAAGGAGAGATTTAGGAGTGTACTGGAAGGAATTTAAGAATAACGGACTATTGGATACAGGTTTTGGACTAAGATTACGGAATACGGTTTTGGATACGGCGCAAAGTAGTGTGGACATACGGATTTGGGAACTTGGATCATATAAGGATACTGGCAACGGATTGCGGAACGGATTTGGAGAGACATACGGACGAAGAACACAGAAGTTCAAGGTGGTGCGAGTTAAATCTCTTTTACACCTATTTTCCCCCGGCGACACCACATAGGATAAGATCACTTTATTGGCCATATACAATTTCTTGTATTAGCAATTTGTCTTTTCGCATACCCCAACTTACTCTTCATGAGTCACACAGCTACACAGACAGGGAGAGAAGCTTGGGGCAATAGAAATCAGACTTAAAGGTCTGTAATTACTTGGTTTAGTTTTCCTGTCTTTTTTTATGGACAGGTACTAGGCTACTACATTAGCAATTCTCCAGTCACTGGGCAGTGCTCTCATTTTAAGTGATTGGTGAGATACTATCAGAACTTAGTTCCCAGTACCCTTCCACCTCTTTTATACTTCACTAATTAATCACATTTCAACTGCTGGAGGTTCCTTAGTGAATACGGAACCTTGGTACATTTGGTAACTTTGTTACATTATCCACTTCCCTTTTGTTGTTGAGAAGTTTACTATTTTTCACCTTGAATTATTATTTTTTCCCTCTTGGTGAGGTTCATTTCCTGTTGTAGAACTAAAACAATTTTGTATTTCAAGTTCTATCTTGGCCTTATTGACCTCCTTTTCTTTTTTTGTCTGGGCTTGCAATACATTGTGGTCTCACATGTCTCTGTTTCTATCCTGTGATGGATTGACATCCTGTGCATGGTGTACCCTGCCTTGATGGGATAGCCTCTGGCTCCCCTATAGCCCTGAATTGGTTGTAACCGGTCAGAACATGGATGAGTGGGATGCATTTTTTTCTGTACTTCAAGAATAATCTGTTTAAACTATCGTTGTCCATTCACCACAGATTTTATATCTATCTTGTTGCATTTTGTTTTTCTTAAAAATGCCTCATTACTTCATTTCAGATAGCACACTTAAACGGGTGTAGTTCTAAAGTACAGGATTCATACCTATTCTAGACTTTACTTTGCCAATCTTTTTAGCAATAGCAACTTACTTCCCTTTATACAGCCAAATCATTTACTTCGATGGTTCAACAGCAGTATTTGGGGTACTATTTGAACCCACAACTTTCTGTAACCAATGCTCTGTGACATTTAAAAAAAGGTTGAAATAAAAAAGAAAAATCACAAGATGCTACTTTGAAGTGGTACAGTGCACTAATAAGATCTAATTTAGAATAACATGTAGAATTATGGTCACCACAATACTACAAAGACATTGCTGATGTGGAATCAGAGAAAGGAGAGTTGGTATATAACAAAGCTCATATGAATATAGGCTAAGAATGAAAATCCCTTTTGTTTCTAGAAGAAGATTACAAGTTCTTTCAAGCATTCAAAATCTGCAAAGTTATTTCTTTGGACTTATTCAGAGAACACAAAATGGAAGTACATGTGACACTGATAAAATAGGGAACGTCTTAACACAATAGGTTAGAAAAGTCATGTTGTCAAAGCTGAAATAGTTTTCTTTTTAACTAAACTAAATACCAAATAAGTATAAGAGTTTCCATGCACCCACGCACTCACCACTGCATTTCAACATGCTCTCTTCTTTAATTAACCTATTAGCCAACCAAGGATCCCCTTTGCTCTACTTAAACCTTTCCACCTCTCCTCTCAATGCTCACTATTGAGCTCTACTCACCCGAGCCACCCCCTGCTTGTCTTGCTTGTATTGCTTCTTTTTTGGATAACAAATACTGCTTTCCTCTGACGAAGGACCCGCCTCACCAGTCGGATTTGGTTTTCGGACTCAGCCCTCTGGATAAAGGATCTAGGCCCTCCTTCCTGACCATGGTACTGTTTTATGATTTGGACTTCGGTGACGGAGCATGCACTCTCACTCCTGCCCTAAACTACGCAACGTGACAATAAGCAAAATAAACTTAACATCTATCTTTTTTCATTATAAGATTATTTTAAAAGACAATTCAAAGCTCAAACTGCAGAGCTAAACTTCAGTTTTATTTAAGCTAAGTTTAATTATAAATATAAAACAATTTGCTTTTTGTTGAAAAGTGGTCATGAGAATGTTTTTGGATGTGACAATTCCACAAGGAACAAACAATGGCTGGTTCATATTATCATTGAAAATATATTTAACAGATCCTACTTTCTTATTTTTCAACTATTTTTTTATTAGTTTTTAATTTAAAAACATGAAATACTCCTTTTCCTAAAATTTTCAACCCTAACTAATACTCAATATCGGAGGCATTAGAATAAATTTAGTATGTTAAAGCCAATGTTTAACACAAAAACAAATGTATTGCCATCTCTCTATCCAAAATGATATTAGTGACTGTACAGTATTTAAATTAGGTCTGAAAACTGTTAAATTATAGACTAAATAATACAGGGAAATGTTTTAATCATAATCCACAAAATACTGTACAAATGTTTTTACACTTGTCCTATGCAAGAGTTTGTATAACAGTTTTTGAACAAAAACTTTAACTTAATACCTTTCTTTGTTGAGCACAGCCTTCAAAAGGTATGTTATAAATAGACAGGTAGCAATTTGAAAAAAATACATTACAATTCAATTTCGTCCCAAGTACTGATAGCATGATGTCAACACAGTAAATCATATTTATAGGAACATTTTTGTGTTTCTTATGAGTCAATATAATCTTTTGTTTTATACAAGCAAGCATAACTGCTATCATTGTACACTGCATTCTAATATATCATAGTCTTCACTTTACTGACTTTAATGAAACACAGAAATATAGGACTCTTCCTTCATTATCTAGAATCCTGAGACCAGAAATACACTGGAATTGACAGCAAGAGTTATATAAAAATCTTCTTTAAATTCCTACATAAACATTTTCTATATTTCTAAGACATTGGGTGACTTGAGTAATGAATAATTTTAAATTAAAAACTACAGTAACTGCTAATCCATCTACACTTTCTCTTTAAAATGATAGATCCACATTTAAAAAGCTTTGAAGGAGATATCCGCAAATAGTACATCTTTAAAGCAATTCTGAAAGTACAGCTGTTCTGTTTTATGTAAGCACAATGAAATGCTGAATGCAAATTGAATCAATGCCACAGCTGTGTTATTTGGCCACTATGTGGCTCTAAAACACAAGCTAAAGGCATCACGTACTGTACATGTGCCTTGTTTACACATTTTTGTTCTTTACACCGTCACTATTATTGGGTCTGAATTTCCTATTATTGCCCCAGTATTGTAAAAGTGGACATGGCTTGAGTGTCCAAACGTCAGACATTAATCTTAGGTATTAATTTCTTGGTCATAAAGATCACATTGTTGAAAACAGTAGGGGTCCTGGGCTTGTACAAATTAAAGTTAACATTTAATTCAATGGAAGTTCACTGTATTGAATGTTGTTGTGTATGCGGGTGCAACTTGTCACCCACATGTCTCACACATGTGGGTGCTGCACTTTGGTGGTGGATGAAGAAGGCTCCTCCAACATGTAAAACACTTTAACACTTTTTTGATGAAAAGCACTACATTAATGCAAGGGATTGATGGAAAAACAGGATGCATTTTCTAAATCATTTAACTTTAGTTAGAAAAATAAACAACTCTGAATCCACAAGTAGAAAAAGTGCACCTTTCTGTCAGGTTTGCTTTATATAACAGAAGGGTCGCTTAAAAATCCACAAGTTTATCCTTATTTCCTTTTCACTGGTCGGTCCTACTTTAAGCACAGGGGTATAGGCCATTCCAACATACAAGTATAAAACTGACACCCATGAACACAATAGTACCTTAAAAAGAAAAAATGATTGCAGGAAAAAAAGCAAATACATTAATGTTTTAAAAAAAGAAATCGAAGTTGAAAATGTTGAAAGCATTATACAAAACTAATAATTTGCTTATTGTATCATATATTGCTTCTGTCAAAACTACTTATAAATATAGCAAAATAAATTAAACATGCAAATTACTTCACAAAGATGCACTGCAATAAACACAATTTAATGCATTAGAACAAATTTAAACTATAAATAACATTTCATTATAATGCTTGCTTTTCCATAAAAGAAGAAACCTGACTGGAAAATTTGCTTACAATTATGAGTGTCAATTTTTTGTTTTAACATTAAAAAGATTTTCATCCATCTGTTCTGGCTTTTCCTTTTATTTAGTATTTTAGAACAATATGAGTTTTTTTCTGCAAAATCAATCATGACCTTCAGTAATATTTGAAATCCCATTTGCTTATTTGTATGGTGTCCAATTAACCTGAAGCCTACTATGAAAGGCATACAAATATCATTTTAAATAATTAAAGGACATACATGAAAGTAATTATTGGGCTTCTTAAAGTATTTTTCCAGCTTGGCTTTATAAACATCTCCCTCTCTCTCCACACTTTTTCTTGTACCAAGCCAAAATGATTGTTTCTTGTTTTCAGTCAAGACTTTCTGGTTTTATCTTCTCTCTCTATTCAAACGCCCAAATCAATAAGACAAAATACATCGACAAGGTTTACCTCAGACAAAACTGAGGATTTGAAAGTAGTAAAAAAAACATTATGGATGGTATTATGGACAGGGCCATTAAATAATTACACTGCAGCATTATTCCAAAGGGTTCAGATAATTAAGCCACAGTAACAATGCACATGTATAGATAATTATTTACACATTACTTGATAAAATGCACAATAAAAGGTAACTGAAACTAATGCGTTTTTACGCATGTCACTGATTTTTTTAGAAAGGACAACAGGTGCATAGTCTTCCAAATTCCTGGCAGCCTTTTGACTACAAGAATCCATTGAGCTCAGTGATGGGAAACATGCACTTCGCTCATTATAAAAAATGTCTACAATTTGATAAAGTGCAGGGTACATACATTAAATTATAACATTGTTCAATAACAAATTCAGGAAGAAGGGTACAGAAGATACCTAATCTTGCACACTTCCGCTCGCCTGCATATACATACTGTATACTGTAAGTCTCACAACAGGGACTTCTTGGAACTCATCTTTCTCGTACCCTATACAGTATCCCTGTATCAGCTCCCAGGCTTAATCCTCTCAATACAGGGGGGTTTGGGTAGCCTTGAGCAACGTCAATATACTCTACATCTTAAGCACCTTGTTTACACATTGCTATTCTTTACACTGTCAGTATTCCTGGATCCTAATTTCCAATCAGTGTCCCAGTATGGTAACAGTAACCAAGCTACAGAATAAAGCATTACAATATTCTAAGCATCAATTAAACACAAAGAAATGTCATGTACTGATTAACACTCGTCATTAAATGTGATGATCAATGGGGTGTCTACTTTGAAATTCTCAGGTTAGTACCGTATGTGGCCACTGTACTGTTGGAAGCAATACAGCTTGTACATCGGTGACTCTTGCTTTTCAACAGCTTGCAGATGCTGTTTTATAGTATTCCCTACTCATTCTTCTCATAGAGCTTGGACAAACATTTGTCTGTTCACTGAAACACAGATGCCAAATATCGTCCCAACTCATCCCACAAATGTTCAAGTCTTCAGCTTGTAAGAAAGCCTTTGATAAACACATAGCGTTGCATTATCCTCCTGGAATGTTGTGACTTCCAAACGAGCCAAAGTCAGTCATATTGCCATCAATCACTGCTAGAAGAGTTCGCTACTGACTGCCCAGACTTTCACACTTGGACTTCCCCATCAATTGGTCTAAATTCCATTAATTAATAATTAGCACATCATTGCCATATTTGCTGACACCCATCATGGTGGTCTACACACAGTTGCTACATCTTAACAATGAAAAGATTTGATATCAGGTGAGTCCACCTGATATGTTGCTCACACCACCTCATTCTGCTGTGTTGATGAACATTAGTGAGCTCCTGGCCCCTGTATTGTCATCTGGCCCTCAGACAATAACTCTGTAGCTTCTCTCTCACCATTGAACTACTTACGTGTTTGTTGTAACAACATAGCATTTTGGTTGCAGTGTAACTGGCAGTGTCAAAATGATCACTAAAACTGGGCATGATGTCAGCCTGAAGAAGGCTCCACGGCTGAAACATTGTTTTCTTTTTTCTCTTTTCAGCATAGATAAACCTATTACTTGTTCCATTGCAGCCTACGCATGCTGACGAAGCTACCCACCTAAATAGAGTCATACACTTTCTCTGATACTTAGTACATTTTCTTGTGTTTCATATGCTACAAAAAGCATGATTTAACACTGATATCCCTAACTGTATGTGTAGTATTAAAATATTTTTGTAGTAAATGAAATTGGTGTATACAGATGTCATATGTTTTGGAAAAAGAACACATTCATCATACCTCATACCTAAGCATCATCATGCTTGTAGTCCTTTTCCAGCTTGTCCAGAGTTTATAGCTAAAGTGCAGTAACATGAAATTGTAGCAGTAATGTATTTTGTAGTTTTAGTCCATTATGCACAAGATCTCAAACTATTGTAACAAGAAATCTTGGGAGCTGTTGAAACAGGTCAATGTTTTCAGATTTTATGGAAAAATTATATATTTTGTGACTTATGAATAATTTTATATATATGTTTCCATGTTCCCTGTAACTTTTGCAAAAACATGTTCTGCTGACTGATTTTGAATGATTTGCAGTTTGAATGACATTACCGACAGACTGTTCTTGTTTTCATTGCCTGAGTGTATGCTAGAGTAGATAATGTAGCTAACAGTTACTGTACATCATTATTATTGACTGTGGTTTTCTAGGAAGAAGAATGACCATATTTATAAATCATTCAATATTTCAGCCCAGTACAAAGTAAAAACTGGCAATATGAGAACAAACATGGAAAATAAGATTTGCAAAAATATTTTTTTTTCACAGAGTAGGTGTAATGGAATTAATATATGGTAAAATACATTAAATTAATTTACAAAAGCAGTCAAAATGTTAAATGTTTTAGAAGCTGTTTAAAATACCTAACTTAAACCTCAGGAAAATTAAGGTACACCAGTGATTTTGAGAAAATATAACACAAAGTCTATATTCATAGGCAAACCTATGCCAATTTGTTATTGATTCCAAAAGCAGCTGTTCTAGAAGTTATCTGTAAATAAATGTATAGCTCCGATCTTTGGTTTTCAATTAATCTAAGATCTGTGGTAAATAATATCTTGTGACTGTGCTTGATAAATCACAGATCTTGAGGTGTTCTAAATATACTCACACTATTTTATTTGTACTGGAGAAGAACCACATAACATATATTAACTGACCAGCATCTGTTGGAAATTAAACTAGGTTAGAGCAGTGTTCCACATTATATTGTCTTTTAATAGTGTTGATCATCTGCTAGAAATCTGGGGATCCTAGAAATTGTGGAAATAAAATTAATAATAATTAGTTAAATTAAGAAATTCAGATCTCATGTCAGCACAAAAAAATGTATTGCAAAAAGTGAATTTTGGTCACCCCTCAGTTTGAGAATAACTTCTCGAAACTGTCATTTAAGAGCTATGGAAAAAGTGAAAAAGATAGTGACGGAAATTCATATAACCTTATTCATATAATTCATATAACCAATGAAAAATTATTCATTGTTCCTATTATAAACTAAGTGGATATTAGAACAATAAACAATAAAATGCTTTATGCTGACAACCGTTTCTTGACCTCTTTTTGAAACAAACAAACCGATTATATTATTAAATCAATTAAAAATCATCTAATCGAATATAATGAAAAAACAGACTTCTACAATAATTAGCAGATCCATCTGATTAATCAGCAGAAGTTGAAGAGTTTTTGCTGTAGACTTGAATCACGTTTTCTTGACAGGGCTTTTTTGCTTCTGCTTCCTGAGGTGGGCCTCAATCTCATGGCGGAAGAACAGCATTCCCAGCTGACCGTGGGACGCCTCATTCATGGCCTTGGACTGCATGCACATTCTGTACTGCTCAGGCGTGAGCTCGTCAGCACAATGCTTCTCATGCCACAGGTGGAAGAGGCCTCGTGATGGAGACCGTACCACCATCAGGTTGCTATGCAGATACTTCCTGTACAAGTGCACATCCTCTCCTCCCCAGCCTTTGATCTCCACATCGAAGCCACCTGTTAGAGGACACATACACATCCGTTAAATCAACACTACACAATGGCAGAGGTAACCATGGGAATCACCTATTACAATACTCCAAGGCTGTAAAATAAGGAATTTCCTGAAAGATTTTGTGCAAAGCCCCAGTGTCCCTGGAATGGCACACTTTATACTGATGTAAAAAAGAAACGCAACACCTCCTCCTCCACATTCTGGTCCTCCTGTCTGCGTGGAACAGGCTGAAGAGCGACTCATCCATGAAGAGGACCTGATGCCACTGACGAGTTCATCGCAGCCTCTGTCCGGCCCAAACCAGTCGAGTGTGACGTCTATGAGGTGTGAGCAGAGGGCCTCTGACAGGTCACTTTCCTCTAAGGCCAGCAGCATGGAGCCTCACTGTCCTGTCACTGATGCGGGCATTGTGTCTACTGGCAGTTTCAGCAGTAGTACAGTAGTATAGGTCTGAATCTGAAATGATCTCTCAGATTGTCCGGCCTGATGTGTCAGTCCTGCTCTGGTGTAGTCACTCGAGGGCGACCGGATCTTGAATGGTCATCTGTCCTGCTGCTGCACAGTGGTGCAGCATGCCAATGACCTTTTTTTCTGGGGATATTCGAGGCATTATGGAATGCACAGAAAACTGACTAAGTGTGGCCCTTTTCTTGCAGTGACCTAAGAATTAAGGATTTGAAGGCCTTTTTCAGAGGACCTGATCAGACGTTGTTCCACCTGGACCTCGTTGGGTAAAAATGCACCTAACGAGCTTTCGTGTGATTGGCAAGTTGCAATGCCTCACTGCACAAGCTGTATTGTTGGTCAGAGGGCTTAAAACAAATTGACAACTTTTTGTTAAAGTACAAAAGCTATAACTACAGTATTCTCATTCCAGAAAATCTTGCGTTTTTTCCATCAGTATATACTGTATATATGCACTTTCCCTTATTTAATTCATGTTGTCTAGTTTGTAATTTACTGTTTAGCTAATTTAAGGTAATAGGAACAATTTAAAATAATAACTCAGCTAATATATCACTTAATAGTTTGGCTGAGAAAAAATGTAGATTTTAACATTAGCTCATCTGCATAGTGATTTAAACAAGCTGGGAAAGGATCTGGCAACAATTCAAATGAAAGAAACAACAGTATTGTTATCCCTTCACATGTGCTGCTGTATTTCCTCTCAGGGATTATTTACAGTAACGTTTAAAAACAGGAGATGAATTGACAAATTGTGACTTTAAGTTAAAAGTTCAGAGTGGTGACTCTCAAGCAAAAAAGCTGAATCTTTATATGCAGAACTCAAAAGGACAGATTTGTAGGGAGTCAATGTTCATTATATAAGTTTGAACCTTTGCTAAACTACATGGGCTCAGAAAAAATGTGTGGGTGTATTAATTTTAGTTTTTTTGTCTTTTTATTTTCTCTGTCTACTTAGGTTGTGCTGGGAGGCATAACAGCAAAGCGTGGCATGGTTTAATTTTTTCTACATAGCAGATTTTTTTTAAATGTCCTGAAATATAGATACATATTTTAACCATTTTAACTAATCTAAATATACAGCACCTTAGATAATTGTTTGGATCCTTCCTATTGTTTCCGAATTTATGAAAAATGTGCATATAAAATGTATTAAAAACCTGAAACCTCAAACTAAAATCTAAGTTACTACAGTATATACTGTATGTCAGCAAAGATAAGAAACAAAATGAAACTAAAAAAGACTGAAATGAATGCATAAGATTTCAGACCTGTGAACTCTGTGAACCCTGTGAAATATTTGATGGAAGCACTTTTGGTAGCAATAAGAGCAATTAGAGCAATTAAATTGCAGATTCTTTGGGTAAGTCTCTACCATCTTTGCATACTCTCTACATCTCTGCTTAGTGCATTTTTGCAGATTGTTCTTGTAAGATTTGTACAAGCTCTCTCAAGGTGCTTGTTGAGAATCATTTGTGGACAACAATTTTCAAGTCTTTCCACAGATACTTAATATGATTCAAGTCAAGATTTTGACTGTGCCTCTCAAGGATATTCACTTTCTTATTCTAGAGCCACTCCAGCATAACTTTGGCCTTGTGTTATAGACCATTACCTGCTAAAAGGTGATTTTTATTTTGTACCAGTTATAGAACTAAAGCAGGTTTTTCATATAAGATTTGTTGGTACTTTCCTCCATTTAATGTATGTTCCTAGTAGAACTATAAAAGTGGAACTATAGAAGTAAAATTTAAAAATAAGGCTGCCACCACCATGCTTGACAGTATGGATGCTGTTAACCGGGTGAAGCACAATTTTGTTTGCAACGTTTTGCATTTAGATCAAAAGGTTCCAATTATGTGTTGTCTGGCCACAAAACCTATTGCCAAATACAGTATATTGCTTATAGAACGTTTACACAGCCTTTCCAATGTAGACCTTTTTGGCCTATCCAGACCCTTTTACCTTTATTAACACATTGTAACACACAACCTCCAAGAGAAAAACATATGGTCAGATATTCTGAAATGTTCTCAGAAATAACAAACCTAGGAAAATGGGTTGGATAAGTGTACACCTCAGCACACTTACCTTAGTAACAGCAATTGTAAAATA